TATATATATATATATATCTTTATATTTATTTCATAATTTTGATTCCAAATGTATATATTGGATATATTAATTTATTATAAAAAATGTAGCATATAATGATGCTTAGTATAATAAATAAATAATTTAGTTTAAAAATATATAAGATTCCTGTATTTAAAGTAATGCAAAGAATATAACAATGCAAAGAATATAAAAAATTAACAGAGAAAAATAATGACTCGGTTTTAAGTAACTGTAACTGTGTATTATTTTTTGATACATGACATGAACCTTTCAGAAATCGAATTCAACTAGCTCCACAAAAATCGAATAAAGAAAATTAATAAAGTTCCTACAAAACACAAACTACTAACAGTCATATTCATCAATGTGACAATTTTCTATTTAGTATAACTGTCATGTACAACATGTGTTGTATTATATATATGTAGTTGAACGGGAAATTATAATATTGATGTGATGTTACTGTTAGTTTTGTGTTCTGCAGAATTGTAAAGTAATCATAAACTTGGATATCAAAATAAAAAAATAAAAAAAAAATAGAATTAATTTCGGCTTTTGAGAATTTAGTTATAACATAAAACGTAATATATTCAACAATTATACGTCATCGGCGAATCGACCAGGTATATTGAAGATAGATTGTGTTCAAGCATGCAACGTATTTATAGTTATGAGTAAACGTTGAGTAAATCTGGTACAAGGTTGCTAATGGCGAACTGCCAATAATTTGCCACTGTAGTTTCGTATCGGATTACTAGTTCTTCTTGCCAAATCAACATATCAGACGTATCTCTGTTGCAGATTGGTTGCTGAAAAAAAACGACGATCATTCGTCGTTTTTTGTATCATAATATCTTACTCTGAGATTAAAAGATTAAAGAGATTAAAAGAGAAGAAAGACAAAAAAGATATAGCAAGACATCACATCTTTCCTTGCTCGAATATGTCGAGTTACTGCAACCTACTATCGATACAGTAGTAGTCTTCTACATCGATACTTGGATAGTTTAGAAGAGTTGTTGAATGAAGTATGCAGCTTACGGATATGCTATAGAATCTTGCAAATAACTTGAAGCAGGCAAAAGTATATACATAGTTCGGATTTTGATAATAACTTCTGAGAGAATTGCTTATCCCGTTCTAAAAGCTGTAGCTTACTCTTAATCCAACTAAAATATATGAATCCTATAGTGATCCTTTCAAAATATAATTAATAATAATTTCAAAAACAGTATTTTCGGAAAAAATTTTCAAATTCAATCTACAAAAATTTATTAAACAAAGGTATCCCGAAAAATTAATCTACTGTAAAAAAAGAAAGAAATAAACTGAATTCTATCAATATTGCTAAAAATGCAATACGATATCCAAAACTGTTTTCGAAAAATTATTCAAATCTCTAATTCAGATTATTAGATTAACCGTAGGGATATGTGAAAACCAATAATTCTATATTCAAAAAAATTATGTATAATCATTTTAAGTTTTGAAAAAAATTTCAGATCATCTGGACATAGAAATTTTAACAAACAGTCGAATAAAATTCAATACAATCATATGCTTTTTCGAAACTTTAAAAACAAGTTTGCATAACTTAATATTTTTTTTCTGAAATTAAATTAAGTTAAAATTAATGACTTATAAAATTAATTCAGTTCAGTTAAAAGTTAAGTGAACAAAAAACTAATTCAGTTAAAGTTATGTTAAATTAATTCAAATTAAATAAAATTTAATTTTGAAAAATATTATTTTTATCAAATCAGAATATCCTAATTTTTCTTAAAATCAAATTATTCTGAATGACAAAACAATTTGAATTATAGATCATATCAAATAAATTAAATATTTTATTTTTAAATTATATGAAATAACAAAATTATTTCTTGTATAATAAAAAACTGATTTTTAGTTGTTTCTACAGGTACTTTCATATTTTGATATTTATATTATAAAAAAATAAAATGTGACTTTTAAATGATTTTGTTCTCCTTTGTGCTGGTCAAATCTGTACATTCTTTAAAAATTATATATAAATAAAAAGTTTTTATTCTTTCATTATTATTTATTAGACGTAAAACAAGAATACTATGACGAATAGTAATAATTGATTTCCTAAATGCAGATCTAACCCACAATCATCTTTGGGCATTACGAGCGTCGCGATCACAATCATTGAGTTCTTTTCTTATTTTAAATCTAACTTAATTCTTTAACGTTTAACATTTTATAGAAAATAACATTGACTTTTATAAAGAAATAAAAGAACTTTAACTTAAAAAGAAAAAAGTTAATGAATTAAAAACATATAAAAATGACTAAATTAAGTTAAAAAGTTATTAACTTTTTAATTTTTAACTTATTAACTAGTTACCACCCAACTTTGTTTAAAAAACACGTGACTGCCGCGCAGACTTTTGTTCTGGTCTGACCAGGGTAATTTGGTCAATTTTTGACTTACTACACGATATCGCATCTATATAGAGTTTGGCAGGGCGCCGGCGCCGTTTTCTATAAATAACGGGTGCAACGCTGACCGCCGCTCGCGACGGTTAAAGTAGCGACAGAGACGAGGCGAGAGAGCGTTGGGAATCACGCGGGGGACGAGGAAGTGGTTACGGATAGCAAGCGGTGCGACGGTAGTAGTAACGGGTAGTCCAGATCGCAGTAGTAACGGTTCGCTACTCGCGCGGCGCCTTTCAACTCCGCTCCGCTTGGCTCCGCTACGGCCGCGACGACGATCAATCGAGCCGGCGGGAGGGTGCGACGCGCTCATATACTCCGGATTTCCTCCTCCAAGGAAAAAAAAAACCCTCGTCTCTCGAAGTCCGGAAGTGCCTCGATTGGTTGTGAATCGAGGAACGAAACCGAATCGTGAATACTTTGGTCTCCAATAGATTGACTCCGCAAAGTCTTGGACTCCACGTAAATCGCGAGAGAGAGAGAGGGGGGAGAGAGAGAAAGGAGAGAGAGAGAGAGAGAGAGACTTGGGACGACGAGGGACGGGGATATCCCGTTACAGGATTCGCGGGGTTGATCCTGGGGCAGCCGATGGGGTAACGAAACGCGAGAGTGCCGTCGTGTGTCACCCTCCCGCTCGACTATGTGCCGGCGTTTCGCGATCAGGACGCCGGGATCATCGCCGACGGTGATCAACATCATCGCGACATCAACGGAGCGCAAGATGTGAGACCTGTCGTTTATACGCGTCAGCTGATCCGACGTAAGTCGCGAGGGACAAAGGAGGTGATTATGTAAACGGAGCTCAGCGCTGGAGGTCCGCGGTGGCGGCCAGTTGCACGCTCGTCTTCGCTGTCCCGTCGACGACCGGTGAATTCCCTCCCCGGTGAAAGAGAGACTAATTATATTCGCCTCGTGGGACGAGGTTACTAACCAGCCAACCCTCCGGCCTGCGCCTGCGTGCGTGACCAGGCGTTTTCCTCTCAAGAGGGAATACGAATGTCGACACTTTAGACGCGTGAGATAAGATTGAAAAATAATCGATGTAATGAGAAAATCTCGGATTCTTTTGTGTTCAATCTGCTAGACGTTTAAAACATTGTAGAACCAATATTTAAAAAATTATGTAGACATATTCAAAATTTGTAAGATTTTAGCATCTGTGATTATATGATCGAAAATTTGAGTACTTGGAAATTCTAGAATTTAATCCAAATCTTTAAGAACTATTTTGACGTCGAGATCTTTACTAGTTAATATTTAAACATCACGTTTGCGAAATTGAAAATCGGAGTTTAAAATTTTAAACGTACTCAAAATTTAAGGCTTTAGCATCTGTAATCTGATTGTGCGATCTAAACGCTACGATCAAAACGCGAAGAGCCAATTATAGTCGAGATTAATAGATATCTATTCTGTAAACTTTTTCTTTTTAACGATAATTTAGTCGCTAGGAAGATCGTTGCGCAGGTATTTTATATGGTGAAAAAACTACGCAACGACAGTATAATGATACCGAATTATCGTTAAAAGTTATAGAATAGACTTATAAATCTTGATATCTAATTATTAATCTTTAATATACGATTGGATTATTCCTGTGCATTTCTTTTTTTTTAAATTTAAGAGTATTTGGCTAAATACTGATTTGTACCTTTTCCTTTATTTTTTAATACATCATTTCATAAATTTCTAAAGATGTTAAAGTGTTATATGACAATCACTTAATAATTTTTGCATTTGTAAGAGATGAAAATTGATTCAAGATACAAACGACCCATCGTGTGTGCAGTAAAAGATTAGAATATCATATATTACGGGTTAAATTGACGATTAATTTAATTTGTGATATTATTATTTTCGCTTTAGTTTATGATTGCGTTTCAAGACAGTAATTGGTGCGCAATTTTACATAATTGGAAAATGTCCCAGTAAATACAAAGTAACAAAACATCAATGTTATAATTTCACACTTGATATAATTGTTATATACAACGTGTTATATTTATGTTTGTGTAAAGTAAGTGTGAAATTATAACATTGATGTTATATTACTGTATTTATCGGAGTATTTAAAATATTTACATATAAATGTTATTATAGACACTAAAATCTAATCTCGATTATATCTCGCTTTTCTTTATTTAAATGATTTATTCATGTAAGATTCTTATTTAATTTATTACGTTAAAGTCAAGAATTTTTAAAGTATAATAAAGATTTTTTTTTTTAAGGATAATAGTTATTGACATGAATACTCATTAAGCTTCGATTTCGATTTGAATCATGTAATAAAAAAATTGATTATATAATATTATAAAATCAATTGATTATATTAAATAAATTTGTAATTCGTATGTAAATGCCTCAGACGATTACGGAAGATTTACGAGTAGGGAAGGGGACCGATTATAACTTTCCTCCGGCTAGTTTTATTCCACGATCGCGCTACTTCGGCGCGTCTATCACGCATAACTTTGACATATCACGCCACGACAGTAAATCCAAATCGATCAGCGCATTTCCAAAGTATACGTCTCGCTGGATGCATGAAAAATTGCACATTGTACTAACTTCTCAAAGATTCGTTCGACGCGTCTTTCTGACGAAGGACTATAATTCGTATCTGGCAAGTAAGGCGATGGTTACTCCGTTAAATTATACATTCCGATTGTTTCTCTGTGCTTCACAGATCCACAATGGCTCTAGTAATGTTACCGTGTGACCTGCCTTGGTGGCCAGCTGTTGTAAAGCAATTGGACAAGGCCGCCTCGGCTAAAAACTCAGAGGACCTAGTAGACGCGATGCAACGATTGCATGATATGTGCAAGTACGATTCGCATTACTTACTCTTCCTTTACATCGCCTATTAATACCATATTTTTTAATATATTTATATAAATATTTAATATTTGTTTTTTTAAATGAAATTCTATTTCAGAGTAATGCTACATGGAAAGAACAATTTGGCTGAAATATCTAAAAATTTAATTACAGATCTGAAAATAATTTTATTGGACCGTCAAAATAATTACGTGGAAATCTCAAAATGATGAGTAATGATGCATAAAATTTTAACATTCTAGCAACCAATTTGAGTATCTTATATAATTATTTTGGTAGTTTAACACAATTATTTTCAAATCTGTCTATCTATATATTTGGATATTTCAAATCATTCTCACATTGCTTACTTATTTTTAAGCTTAAGTGACATAACTAAAAAAATGATTTTTAAATTAGTACTACGAATGAGTTAAGTAAACATTACTCAAATCAAATATCAAAAGTGAATTAAAATCGTCACAACTAAAAATGGTGGTTTTTTTAAAGAATTATAAAGTAAAAAAATAACAAAAATATTTTATTAAAAATATACAGTGAAAGCAAAAAGTATTTGTACAAAGAAATTTTCTATAAAAAAAAATATTTGTAGAAAATAAGCATTAATTAGCAATTTTATACAATGAATATATTCTATTCTTACATTAATAAATGAGTTTCGCATATATTCTTGATTTTAGAAGCTAAATATCTCGACTTTACGAATATTTTTTGAACATCCGAACAATACAATTTTAATTTTCGCTTATTTATCAGATGACATATTTTCTATAATTAATACACATTTTTTTGCTATGTATAATTTTAAGAAACATACATAAGTCTATTTTATTCTTTGTAAATAAATTGTTAATTACTCAGCAAGAAATTATCGTCAATTAAACATTGAATCGATGTCAAATTGATGTTGAAACCATCGTATCGATATCAATTAAATATCAATTCGATAACTTATTTCTCAACTGGATAATATTTACTTTTTAAAAATAAAATATTTAAAAAAATATTTTCTTTGTACGAATACTTTTTGCGCTCACTGTATTTCTTTTCCAATAAGTTGAAAAGTAGTTTTTTCGTTTTTCTAGGAAACTTATAATTTTTTGTATTTCACTTTTGAAGGAGCAATATCTAAGAACGGAAAAATGGATTGATAAACAATCACTTATAGTATCATATACAATAAATAATAACGAAGTTCGTAATTGCTTTTACGATATTGAAATACGCAATGCATTTGTTTCGTTCAGCATAAGCCTCGATCCCGAGGAAGACGTGCAAGACGCCGACCTATTCTCCATGTTGGGAACCTTCCTAGACAATGACCTCGATCTCGCGGAACGAGAGCAAGTGTTCACGAAGACAATACCGCGAATAGTGGAACAGGCGAAGGCCTTAAAATCTACAAAACCCCCTCAAGGCTTACACTTTAGCCTCCAGCAGCAAGGTACCGCGAGATTCGACATTCTACAAAGTAATTGTAGTCATGTAAAACAGTACCTTACTATTCAACTATTTTTAACGATCTCACAAATCGGCACTTGTATGATAAATATACATACATCTATTCTGATGAAAATTTTTCTTAGAATTCTTTATAATTTTTCAGAATTTTTATATAATCTTAAAATTTTTCGGAATTTCTATATAATTTTATAATCTTTTAGAAACTTTCTCAGTTTTTTTCTTTATTTTGGAACTTTCCAGAATACTGAGAATGTCTATAGCTTTTCTATAGAATTCTTTTATACATATATATGAATTCTGAGATTCTACGATTTTTCCATAATTTCTGAAGAATGCTCAAAATCTGAAGAAATTAAAAATATTTTTCAGAAATATTCATAAATTTTAAGTATCCAAATCTTTTAAAAAATTATGAAATTTTTTTACTTGTAAGATACAAGTAGAATTCGATAATATAAAAATGAATTCATCTTATGTAGGCGACAGCGTCGAATATAATTATGCCTTCGTCTCCTCTTTAATCGCGAACGCATTCTTCTCAACATATCCGAAGAGAACAGTGAAGACTCACCCTACATTACGCGATTTCAATTTCACAAATTTCTTCAGACACCTCCACAAGTGAGTGATTCCCGAGCGCGCCAAATCGTCAAAAAAAATCTGTTACTTTGAATTTAAGAGAAAAAGCGAGATAAGTTTTTAAATATTTTATCGTTTTCCAGAAATGCACAGAAAGCCAAACTCAAAAGTATTTTTCATTATTATAATTATCTCGAAACGGAACATGCACTCGATGGCCGTCTAATAATTTCTAGACAGGTATGCAATGCACGATTCAATTGATACTTATTTTATATTTGATTTATATTGATATTTGATTTATTTTGAAATTGTCTCCCTCTCATTTTCTTTTTACAAAATATAAAACTTAATAATTTCGCAGGTAATGACATCTAAGCAATGGCTGACAATCGAAGATTGGTTGGAAAGTAACGTACCTTTGTGTCCGCTGACGATACGTCACGAGGGACGGTTGGAACGAGTTGAGGCGGAATCAAAAGTACTACAAGTTTGCTTCGCGAATGCTAAAATTGGTGGCGGTGTGCTGGATGGTGATGTCACGCAGGAGACTGTACATGTAACTAATTTGAAAAAATTATTATTATAACTCTTAACGTTAAGAATCTTCTTAATTATATATCAGTACTTTAATGAATCTAGAACTCAGAAAAAAATAAACACAAATTGTTTAGGTTTTATTTTATGACTTGTAATAAATTAGAGAAAATTTGTTAAGTGTCTCTTTTAATTAATTCTTAAAAAAAAAGCTTATATTTATTTAGATATAAAGATTAAAGAATTAATTTGAATAAATTACAGATCATCTCCAAGTTCTCATCTGTCTTGAAATTATTTTTTTTTGCTGCAAATTCATTCTTCAATATATAATTAAAATTAATGTGTGTATGTATCAAATCGAGATTGCAAATTTGATTCTTTTTACAGGTAGCGACACATCCGGAAATACTTGCTGCGATAATATCCGTCGAGGCCTTAGAAGACAACGAAGTACTAATAATCGAGGGTGTCAGACATATGTCAAGGATAAACGATCCGCGGCATAAGGCGATATTCGAGGGTATCTCGAAGCCGAACGTGGTGAGTGAAGTGCGGGATCTCGGATTCGCGCGGATTTTCACGCTATCTGCGATGGGAAGGCAAACAATCGTACAGTTTTCCGAGCGCAGGTAACGGTCTGCTGCATAGATCCCGAGGACTACTCGCGATTGCCATTGACGCAGTACGAGGAGGACAACATCTTGAGGGAGATGAACAAGTCGCTGCTGGGATTTCGTCAGAGACACATGCCCAGCAGCCCCACGGATCCGATCAAGAATGAACTGGAAGCGGAAATCGGCCTGGGCTCCCGCAGATTATCGCCGATCGGCGAGAGCTTCAGCAGCACGCCGCCGGAAATGGAAGGCGAGGACAAAGTTTTCACGAGCAATAATTCCAAGACAGGTGGGAGACGCGTATAATTTTTGCATAATTTGCTAAAACCAGTCTTTCGATGTCTACGATCTGCCTATTTTCTTCTACGAATAGATAAGCAGGTTCTCCGCGACGAGCGACACAAATTGGAGAACGCGACGGAAGTGCGTAGTAGGCCTAATGGTAAATCAATGAGACCGCCTAGTCCTCACAAAGTGTGCAAGGACGCAAGTTACACAAACCGAAAGAACAGATTCATCGTGCTTGGATCTAGTGGCGAGGTGTTGCCAGTGACGCGACAACTCGGCCAGATGTCGGTTTATAGCAGTTGCAACAGTCAGAGCACGGATAGTTTCCATAGCGCTAAGGAAACCATCGATGAGGAACCTGGTACGATAAAATAACTATGGGATGATTTATAGAAAGAAAATAAAAATGTATGTTTCTTAATTAATTGAACGATTTTCAGAGGAAGAAGAGCAAAAGATGACCAAACGCTATAGCGCACAATTAGATACCCCCGAGAGAAGAGGAACATTCGCGCAGCGACTGAAAGACGCTCTCAAACGAGAAAGTACGGCGACGGGGGTGACTTCCTCAAACACTTCTTCTGGCGAGAGCAGTTATGCCGTTGGTATAAGCGTCAGCGGTAGCCACGTCGGCGATCAAGACATCAAGTGCGTCGAAAAATATTGGCGCTAAATTAGTCGTGAAAAAATATTAATATGTATTAAAAGTTTGAACAGTTCAACGATAAAAACAATTAAACGATGAAAGATAATATTTTTAATTATATTACTTATTAGAAATTATTAGAAAAGAATGGTCTTTCTAAAGGATGTTTAGGAAAAATTTAGCTAGATACAGATTTGCATGTAAATTTGTTGGATCATCAAAATAATTATGTAGAGTTTTAAATGTTGATGATAATGCTGCAAAAGATTTCATTTCATTCTAACAAAATTATTTTGTAGATATTTATTAGATTTGTCCATCTGCAAAATTTTTGCAAAACGGTTTTTCAAATTCTTTTTCGATAATAGATAATATTCAACAACCTTAGCTCTATTGAGGCAAAATATGAATTCAATGAGAAAATTATATATAATATCAGTTATTTTGCATTTTTAATGTTCTTCCAATATAGGTTATAGATTTGTCGTTATACTATTTAATCCGTTGCAACAGTTTATTTTGATGCTTCAAACAAAATCATTTTCCAAATCTATATCTAGCAAAGTTTTTAGATAAAACTATTCTTTTCAATACTTTTTATATATCATTTAAATTGACTTTTACCGAACTCAACTTTGTAGATTGAGAAGAGGAGGTTCGAGGGGTTTCGTTTTGCGGGACGAAACAGTGGACGAAGAGTTCCTGAAGGAGTCTCTGGAAGCAGAACAAAAGTGGCTTGGCCGATTCCGGCAGAGTCAGGGGCCTATGTTTCAGAGGAAGGACACGAGTGCGAGCAGCAAGTATAGTTTCAGCACCGAGTACAATTCTGGCGAGTATAATTTGATAAAAATTAAGTAAGCACATTTGTTCCTGGCGAGGATGAATCAATAGAAAAACCTAAACTTTCACGCTCGTAGATTTCTGTTCTGAGCTGGAGGAGGTCTACGAGCAATTGTCAAAGTGGCTGGAGGATCCGATAGTAGCGGACGAGAACCGGGAATTAGATGCGAGAGATCGAGCGGTTGTACGATTCGCCGGTTCACTTCTGAAACGCGCTCTGAGCGAATCATTTGCAGGCGTGCCGGTCCAGGAGGGCGAACCACAGCCGTTCATCGACGCCGACGTAAATCAGCAACACAAACTAGCTTTAGCTGTGAGGAGTCTCAGCTTGGAGCTCGCTCGACAGAAAAATCGGAGACAGCAATCAGTAAGAAACATTCGATTAAATACATGTTCTTTGCGAAAGAGATACCTGAATTAGTAGAAAGTAGAATCTGGATATTCAAAGCTTTAATAGAATAAAAAGGCTCAAGTTTTTAGTTCCTCGCGATAAAATTCACTTTGTATAAATAATCACGAACACGATCGCGACTTCTTTGATTCCTGAAATAAAGCATTTAAAATATAAAAATTTCTCAGCTAACTAAAAATCATGTAATATTAATGTCATGATTTCATATTCAATAATATAATTGTTATGTAACATTATGTGTTATATTTATTATTGAATGTGAAATTATAACATTGAGCATACTCAACAGTGCTCGCTATTATCGATGTATTCTTTTAGATCATCCAATCAGAATTTTAGAAGAATACATCAATAACAGCAAGCGTTCACTCAACTGTTGAATCTACTGAACGTAGCCATTGACACAATATTACTTTTAATTGGTTGAATTGATTAAGTTATTACTTCATTGCTTCAGTATTCTTCATTAAGTTGAACTGCTTTCTTTTGGGAACTAAAACAAACTTGAGAAGCAAATCTTTAATTTGTATTAAACACAGACACACTTGTATTATAAAAACATTCAGATATACCTTTGAAATACATACCTTCGTTATGAGTAGTAAGATGGAATGAGAGACAGTCCGACTCGATTTGGTCGAGCGAAGCTAATGTAGAATAATCAGTAAAAGAAAAGTTTTGAGTTTGGACTATAGGCAGAAATGCTATACAGGTGTCTGAGTCCGAAGACGTAGATTGCTACGAGGACGCCTCGTGCGAGATGGTAAAAGAGACGAAGGACGCCCAACGTAGGAAACTTTGGGTTGTCACAGTCACGTCGGAAGTGTTCCAAACGTTGGTCGATGATCATACGACCGTACGCCTATCTACACCGCCCATGTCCGAATCGGGACAGACGGCGAATGAGCGTGAAACCCGCGAAGCGAGCACGCTCGGTGTCTCGCAGGTGATTCTGTTGATTTGATCGCATCACGTATAATCGCAATGCATGAGACAGCAACTGTATTCAATCCGTTATTTAAAATTGCTTGGATAAAGAGCATTTTCTGTAGCCTCGGCCAAGATATAACTCGTCGGGATAAGACTGTCCGACATGTTTTCATTTCTTCTATTTTTTAAATTCTTTTTGTGTCTTTTGACTTGATGCATGATATGCGGATTGAAATCTTCCTCATGTTTAAGATTCTTAAAGAACTAATATATTTATCTGTCTCTCAATCTATCCGACTTACAGTTCTTCACTCACATTTCTTATTCTTTTGTTCTATTTGTTATTAACCACCAAGAGCGAAAATATCGTCCATATACATATTCTTCTCTTTATTGTTACGATAAAAGGCAGAATAATTCTCCATGTGAACTAAAACGATAATAACCATTTAGTTTTGTATGTGTATC